GCACCGGTGGTGAAATGGCTGCGGACTGTCGGCCGAACTTATCATAAAATGCTTGCTGGAACAATGCTGATTCTTTGGTATGCGCGAACGGGGCAAGCATGAGGTCCCTGGCTGCAAAGACTTCAGTGGCTAAGCCTACCAACGCTTGCTCGGCCATGTTCTGGATGGACTGAACCCCAAACACTTTGTCAAGAGCTTGAACTACCTGTGCCAAGTGCCAAATCGACTGGGCTGGCGAGGCCATTTGGCCGAGGGCTGTGAGATCGAGTCGCAACGACCGATGCTCCCCTTGGATGTGTACTGTTGGAACCAGGTGCAAAATGGCTACTTCGTCAGGGTGGATGTGCCTCATGTTTTGGATATCACGGCCCCTTACGTTGGTGACGCCATTCAGAGGTATCAGGGCCCCATACAATCCTTTTTCCTCAAGCCGCTTGTCCGAGAATCCTCCTGCTCGGCATCCGCGCGCACAGGCCTGGAGTTGAGAACCCCATGCATGTAAGGCTGTCTGCAGTGGCTTGTTAGGGCTGACTGCATTCTTTCCCAAGCCTCCTGGTTGGTTGTCGAAGGCATCCAACTCATGTGGTTGAAGAGCCAGTTCAACAATCTGTGGAGATGGCCACTCGGCGATCTTGGGCAGCAAATGTCGAAACGATGGTTGGAAGTCAAGAGCCGGGAAGCACTGCAGTTTGGGCATCTGTACTCCAGGATGAGTGATCGCAGCCCACCAACGTGTTCGCTTGGCCGGCCAGAGCTCATGCAGGTGGCACAGTTGTTGTTGAAACGTGTATCCAGCGGCCTGACAAAAGGAATGCAATGTATCTTGAACCCATGGCGAATGGAGCGCCTCCTTGGTGCATTCCAGAATCATAGCTACCGGCTGGTACAAGTAGCATGCTGATACCATACCTTCGAAGCTTCGAGCTCTTGGGTCATATTGTTGGCGCCCATCCCCCAGTTGGGAAAAAGGTTGGCATGCAAAACCTCCGGTTATGATACATGGGTCCTTGGTATATGGCAGCAAGGCCAATTTGACTTCAGTGCTATCGATGTCCCCAGCAATGACTGTCTGTCGGCGAGCACGCAACCAATCAACGTACCTGTCGTTGATCTCAACATGGCAACGGATTTGGCTTCCAATCAGGTGGTAGCCAGCAGTCATGATGCCGTAGCCTGAACAGATGTCGATGACTTCCGTGGATCCTGTTCGATCGATCATGCCATGAATCAGTGTGGTCGAGTTCGTGGCAGTCAGAACAACCGTTCCTTCTTCCATCGTTTTGTCCGCTGAGAAAATTGTGAAGCGGTCTCCCTTCAAATCAACTCCAGCCAACCGAAAAACTTGCCCACGGAGCGCTGTCGTGCAGTGGTAGACAGCTCCATGGGAATCCCTATACCAAGCTCGTCCAGCTATATGGATCTTGGATCCATCTTCTATCTGCCCCAACCATGGCTCGGGGTCGAAGTAGGCCATCCGCGGCCCCCCGAGTGCTCGGCCCGCACCGGCACACCAGCTGGTAGGTGACTCGGGCCCGTGCCTAGCGATGGCCTCCAACCTAAGAGCGATGGCCTCCAACCTACTAGCGATGGCCTCCAACCAAATAGCAAGCTATATTAGACTCTTTCTTCCTTTTCTTTTTTTGGATCGATCTCAATTTTTTTTCGTTTTCCAAGTCCTTTCTCCATGCAAGGTCCATGATATGCACATCAGATATGCACCAGTCAGATTTTGAGTTCAAAGATTTGTGTTCTTGACCAAGCTACGACGTGCTGCTTTGTGCAAAGTTCCAAAGGCCTATGGCTTTCACATTTGATGAGGAGGAAGAGGACGGTGTCCGATGATGTGCTCTTCGCTGTTCGTTGCAACGTCGTTGGGAAGGTTCTCAATATTGTTACTGGTAAGAATGCTCCTTGTAGCGATGCCCAGGAGCCCCTAGTAGCGTCCTTGCTCCTAGTAGCTTCTTGTTACTACAGGTGAAACGATTCCCACTGAAATTGCTCTGAAGAGAATGGTTCTCAATATTGCCCAAAGAACCAGCTGGATTCATTCGCCGCGGTTTGCTGCCCAGACTAGGACAACACATAACAACACTCTTCTTCATTCAGCATCATGCGCACGAGAATTTCACATTGACAGTCATTTGGCCTCCTGTACTCGCCAGGCATTAATTGCATGGAGTCAGGCCCGAGATCCGGTTAGTGTTTCTTTCGGGTTTGTTGAGGATTTCATGCCTTGATTTTGTTTAAAAGTAGTTCCGATAAGTCTTCCCCGAGAGTTCTGCGGACCGAAGACAAGCGCGGCGTCGCAGGCATTGTGCTTAGATGACATCTCGCTGGAGGAAGAGTTGATGTTGCCAAGGTCACGAGTGTTTCAGCAGGGTTCACTTCAATGACAACGATTTCCGTCTCTGGAGTGGAAGAAAGACTCTTTTATGGGCTAATCCTTCTGGACAGAGTTTTTGAGATGTAAAAATGACAGAACGTTTCACAAGCGGATGAAGAAATGCAGGTTTGGATGTTTCAGACTGTTTTGTTCCTAGTAGCGAACATTGCTCCGTTCGTAGCGATGCCAGGAGCCCCTTAGTAGCGATGCCCTTGTTCCTAGTAGCTTCTTGTTACTACTAGTAAGGCACCTGTTACTACTAGCGTGGCACTTGTTCCTAGTAGCGAACCTTGTTATCGCCAGAAGTTCAGAGAAGGCTCATGACCCACATGGCTTTGAGGTGACTCTCAGATGTCCAAGACCGAGAAAGACATAGTCGGTGGCGAGCGTAGATCTTGCGACGTGTTTCTTCTTTGAGTCTCTTTGAGACTTGAGGCGCTCTTTTCATGGCTGCCATGGCCATGTCCTTTTTTCTTTCTTTGGAGGCCATTGCTATTTGGTTGGAGGCCATTACTACTAATAAGTAACAAGAAGCTACTGGTAACAGAACAAAGGGCATCGCTACGAACGGAGGGATCGGACGCTCCGAACAGGGCGATCCTGGCATCGCTACTAGTAACAAGAGGACGCTACGAACGTAACCATCGCTACCCTTTTTTCTTTCTTTCGATCCTTGGACCTCCTTAGAGAGCTTTTACGTCGCTGGTTTGGGTGTCGTTTCACGGAAGTCCGCTCTTCTCTTTTACGTCGCTGGCAACATGCCAGCCCATGTACTTTCGAAGAAAAGTGTGCTTTTGCAGACGTGGGCATTGTGCAGGGACGGGGTCCAGGATCGGCAGTCTTCAAGGAACATCTCAATCAAGCCTTTGCTGGTGGCGAGAATGACCCAAGGGTGAAATTGGTTGTCACATGAATCTCCATGAAATATTAATGGATGGGCATGCTCCCCAAATGGATAGACATGCTTGCTCATGCATCTTGAATTTATACTACATGCACATCCCTCAATGCCCTTTGAATTCGTGGACTTTCTTTTGCCCTCTGAATTTCTCCACCTTTTGGCGATACATGTTGCTCTGCAGATCGCCAAGCTTCGCGAGCCAAGTGCGCCGGGTTTGGAGGCTGACTTCAAAAGGCTTGTTGGATAGACTTACTTTGTCTTGCTCTCTTTGTCTTATGTGTTTTTGCCCTCTTGATCTTAAGCTTCTTGCAAAGATGCACAGCCAGGTACTATGATGCACAGCCTCCCGCTGTGGCACATCCCCACGCTCTCCAGGTCCACCAAGTCGCTCCAGCTCACCCGCACCCAGCTCACCCAGCTCCAGCTCATCCGAATGCGCACCTGCAACCGTCGACACATCCTCAAGGACGGTTGCCCACGGCGGCATCGCCTGCCGTGGCCTACCCCTACCGAGAAGCGCCTCGCTACCGGCCAGCCGCACAGCCTGTGATGGCGAGGCCCTACACAAGAGCGAATGGTCCCAATGGTGCCTATCCCTATCCCTATCCACCAAGTCATCCGCATCCAACACATCCGCGTCCGTATCCAAGGCCGCCTTCACTTCATCGCCCACACCCAGCCCCACACGTCCCACACGTCCCACACGTCCCACACATCCCTCACCCACACCCGCACCCAGCTCCGATGCCTCCCCACCCGTCACACCCACCACATGGCCACCCGGGTCACCCGGGTCACCCTCACCATCCTCCGACCTATCCCAGCTACTCACCACATTCCCATCCAGCTTGGCGGCATCCAGCTCAACCACGTCCACATCCATATTATGCAAGGCAAAACTACCCACCCTATACCCGATGAATCTCAAGTTGTGAAAAATTGGCTTATTGGATATGTCGCTTGGACGCATTGGGAGGCAACACGCTTGTCGCTGTGACGAGAGGAAGTCCAACTCAAACGACTTGAGTGTTCGGCCGCCTTTCAGGCCCAGTGTGCGCTGCTTGTGACATAGCTGGGCCAAAAAGGTCTGTGAGCTTGCGCTCCAAGTGGGTGAACGGACGCTTCACTCTGGAAGTCCGGACGGTTGGGACGAATTCCTGCGGACTTTTGGACGGTTTTGCACTTGTTACTAGTAGCGATGCCCTTGTTTCTAGTAGCTTCTTGTTCCTAGTAGTAAGGCACTTGTTACTTGTAGTAAGGCACTTGTTCCTAGTAGCGCCGAAAAGCCTCGTTCGCTTAAGCAAAAGAACGCATGCGAGCGTAGTGGGTGTGGCATGAGACGAATGAGGTGCCGCTGTCCGACCGATTTGCTCAAGTTTTTGCTTTGCAGATTGTAGTCAAGACTCTTTGTATTGTAGCCGAGACCTGTGCGAGCCTCAGGAATTAGATCTGAAGCGAATGTGTGGAGGGATCCCGAGAGGAAATTCCGTTTGCTTGCATCAAGCGGACGTCGGTCCTCGCAGCTTTTCGGGATTTAGTGAAAACACATCAAGTGGGCCAGCTTTCCACGCATCTCCAACTCTTTTTGAAGGAAACAGTTTGACAGGGAATGAAGATGAGATTGTTGCAGAAGGCTTCAGGCGATGAAAAGCAGTTCCATGGAATGGAGAGACAGGGATAGGAATCAACCGGAAGGAAGAGAAGACAGGTCATAGGCGGAACTTTGAAGCAGAATCCATTGGTGAGAAAAAGCCAAACGTGCTGCGCTCATGGCACGAAGGCGACCTGGTCTTGCGTGGTGTTTCCTGTTGACATCCGCCGTCAGTTTTGTGCATTTGTCATGCACCCGCTCCCAAGCGCCCAGCCGGCACCCCGCCGCACGCTCCGACGCCGCGCTTCGCCGCGCCGTCGCGGAGCCGGCGGCAGAGCCACCTGAGTGGCGCTCAGCCCTGCGGCGGCTGCTGCTCGCGCGGCGTTCAGCCACGCGGCAGGCAGCGCTGAAGGAGCTGGCCGAGGTCTACGACGACGCCAGTGGCGAGATTTTTGCAGAGGTGGCTGCTTGGCGAGGGCAGAGCAGAAAAAGGGGTTGGTATGGCGGGTTGGGTGATGTCGACGTCCAGATTCATGTTGCAACTTGACGATACAAATGCTTCTTTTCTCTGCTACACAGTTGTTCACTCATGGTGCCCAGATAGCCTCGGGTAGCCTTGCCGAGCCGAGGAGAAGTATGCGCAGCAGATGGAAGAGACGCCGACTCTTCAGATGCTCCGCTTGCGGCCCTTCTTGGGATATCGTTCGGCGTGTGCCAGCCTTTATCGCACGGTGAGGGATCACATTTTGCCACAACAAGCAGATAGCCCCGTGGTGGTGCAGAAGCAAAGTCGAGAGGGCGAGCAACGGTTGAGGTACGTGCTGCAGAGCCTTGACTGCACAGACACTCAATTGCGCTGCTGAACATGATGCAAAAAGGATGAACGAAGTAGCATTTTCGCCTCTCCCTAGTTGAAGGGGGCCCTCCACGGTATCATTTTCAGTTGTCGATTTTTTTCTTAGGTCTAAAAGGCCTCGCTTGCTTCTTCGCATCTTTCTGCTGACAAATGCTCTTTCACACAAGCTCTTCTTTGCAGTCTCGGAACATCCGAAAAAATACTTTTCGAACGCTTTCGAAAGAGTTCTTTTCGATCACTTCTTCCGTTGTTTGGTTCGAAGAGGAGCGATGCCATGGACGCTGAAGGGAAGGAGGCTCCGCTAGCGGCTTCGAAGGCGCGGGCGCTGTTCGTGGCGCTGCGGCAGCTGACGAACTCCGATCCTTGGAGCTTGGAGAGGCGAGACGAACGGGGCAAAGGGCATCGCTACTAGGAACAAGTGCCACGCTAGTAGTAACAAGTGCCTTACTAGTAGTAACAAGAAGCTACTAGGAACAAGTGCCACGCTAGTAGTAACAGGTGCCTTACTAGTAGTAACAAGAAGCTACTAGGAACAAGGGCATCGCTACTAGGGGCTCCTGGCATCGCTACTAGGAGCAAGAGGACGCTGCTAGGGGCTCCTGGCCTTACTACTAAGAGCAATGTTCGCTACGAGGAACAAGAGGGCATCGCTACGAACGTAAAGGACTTGAAGAAAGCTAGCGATGGGCTCCAACCCACGTTAGTCAAGGGATGCAAAGGGAGTGCCGTCAACTGAGTTGTTTTGTCTTTTTCGTTTTTAAGTGGCAGCCCCTTCGCCTTGGTTTCCTGTTTTTCTTTACAGTTCGAGTCTTGTGAGTTGATCTTGCATGTTTTTTGCCAGTCTTTGGAGTAGTAACCCCGTGAAGCAGCACCTGTTGGCGAGCCACTTCTGTACACATTGAAACACTTCCTAGAGGGCCTCCATCAGTCGTGAACCTTCTCACCATGGGATCCCTTTGAAGGGGAGAAGGTACCTTAGTGGAAGATGGAGATCGCTGCATGATACGTTTTTGCCTTCGGTGCCTCCTTGGTTCAATCAAATGTGGTGTACATGCTTGGTTCATCTGTAGAAGTGCAACATGAACATGCTTCCTGTTGCAGTTCCGTGTTAGAATTTTTACTTTTCTATTTTGTTTTTAGTTGGAGGCCATCGCTCTTGGGTTCCGTACAGTCTTTTTTCTATGATTCTATGGTATGTTAATATTCTTTTTGAGTTGCTTTGGGACCCAAATTGCGAACCAAGTCACGTTTGCAGTAGCGAAGATTGCAGAGTTCAGCTTCCAATAAGCTCCGATTCCTGGATTCCTAAAGGTTACGTTAAACACATCCAGTCACTAGACTCTTCTCTCTTCCATTTCCTTTTTTGGCAAAAAACACCTGTCTTTCTTGCACGTGTCTTTCTCTTTCTTCCTCTCATTCTCTTGAATTTGCAAAGATCATAAAGAAAGAGTGTAGCGTCCTTGCTCCTAGTAGCGATGCCCTTTGTTACTAGTAGCTTCTTGTTACTAGTAGCGATGCCAGGAGTGCCCCTAGTAGCATCCTTTCTCCTGTCAAACGCCATTTGTCCTGCCAAACCGGAGGTCGGCCAAGTCGAAGGACGAGGACTGGGCCGCACGGACGCCGAAGCTCGAAACGCCCAAATACGAGGCGCAGACGCTCTGAGAAGAGTTGCTTTGTGTCGATTAGGCACACAGAGTTTGATTAGGTTCAGGTTGTTTCAGAGTTTGTCATGGCACACGGTGTTTGCACAAGAATCGTGCACTTTGCTTTTGGCATCCTTGAAGACCGCGCGGTGCACGTCGTGGCCCGACGGATCTCTTGACGCTCAATCTGTCAGGTGGTTTCTCGAGATGCACTCTCTGGCTTTGAGGCAGATTTGGCCGCTCAAGGGCTAAGTGATTAGATGCTCATATTGTGACAGCCGTTTGGCCCTTTGTTTGCCTTCTGACTCTGTGCTTCCTTTGGTTAGAACCTACAGGTGAGGGAGTACGCACCTTATGCTGTGGTTCAAACACGTCAAGGCCCGAAGGGAAGGGATGAGACTGGCACAAATAAGTTTACCTTTTTAAGGGAGGTAGGCCGCTAGGAGGGAGAGGCAGGTAGCTAGAGCTAGCTAGCTAGTAGCTAGGTAGCTACTACTTAGGACGCAGGATAGCTCACGCTTCTTCAAGGAAGCTACCCCTGCTGCCCTGCCCTATCGGCGGCGGGGAAGCTTCCAAGCGCTCGCACTATATAATGATTTGGTTCCTAGATCTTTAGAGACACTTAAGGACTAAGGAGCTACTAGTAGCTTCTTGTTCCTAGCATAGTTTGAAGAGTGATTTGACTGATTTGTAAGAGTTATGACATGGTTATGACAAGTGAATGTAAACTCTTGTCTTGAAAGGTAAAGGTAGCTTGAGCATCGCTGTTTCTCAGATGCCAATTGGCTTTTCTAATGCGGAGGTGCAGAGGTGGCGAATAACCGGTCCTTCTTCATGCTTGCCGACTACATTTTTGGAAAGAAAAATGTTCGGAACGAGAAGATGGCGATGACAACTCCTGTGCAGATGGATCGAGACAGTGGAGCCATGTCGTCCTTTGGTTGAATCAGCATTTTGCACGTTCTTCTTCTCTCTTCTCTCTTCTCTTTCTTCCCTCTTCCTTCTTCTCCCCTCCTCCTGCTTCTTCTTTGATGGTCGGAGTCGTCTTCAGGTTCATCATGCCCAGCAAATATTGGACGTCCTTGGAGACGGCCCCGGCACCGGCCGAGAACTCCGGAGTGCTTCTCCAAGAGCGCCCGGTCGAGACCTTGGCCGTCTCATGCTTCGGAGGCTATGCGCTACAAGCCACGGTGGCCAAGAAGTGGCTCGGCCAAGGGTGGTCAGGAAGGGTCTCAAACATGTGTAAAAGAGAAATCAAGAACACTAGAAAAACATCAAGAAAAGAATAAGGAGAAAGAGAAATATAGAAAAAGAGGACAGCATCAGGGAGGAACGCATATTAAAAAAAACAAACAACAGTCCCTTTAGGCCGCAAAAATGAAAAACATCTAGTGAAGTCTCCGTTCGGGTCTGTCATCGGTGTGCTCGTGGGGACGATCGTAAGATGTCGAGGCAGTCTTGTAACCATTCGAGGCTTCGAAGGCTTTCTACCCACGGAAAGGGCATCGCTACTAGGAGCAAAGGGCATCGCTACTAGTAACAAGTGCATCGCTTCTAGTAACAAGTGCCTTACTAGTAGTAACAAGAACGCTACTACGGGCTCCTGGCCTTACTAGGAGCAAGAAGCTACTAGGAGCAAAGGGCATCGCTACTAGGTAGCGATGGCCTCCACCCTAGTTTGTACCACTCCTCGGATGTTTTTGGAATGTGGGATTTGCCCGCTATGAGTAATTTTTCCAATTTCTGTCGTGTCTCTTCTTTGAGGCCGAGTTTTCCGTTTGATCTCTGGTTGTGATTGGGTCCAAGTTGGACATTGACATGAACTTCAGGACCGAAGAATTGATAGACTTCGTGGAGAAGAGTGAGACCTGGGAGATTGTAGAGAACACCACGCGTCTCATGCAGTACAACGATCCCTTTACTGTGCCCTGGAAGAGACGCAACGAGGTCAGCATCCCCGTGAGAGCCAAAGCGCGTTAAGGGCGTCCGCTATGTGCGAAGGCTGAGGGGAAAGAAACCTCAACACGAAGTCGTCTCTGCACATTCCTGGGAGCAACTTGGTATTCATAGCAAAGGATACAGATTAGCAGACCGAACGAGCCCATTGTGTGTGCATTGTGTGCTAGATTAGCATGAAGCACACTTCAATTGCTCAGTAGTTGAGATCTTCAGAATGCCAGATTCCATCAGCATTTTTCTTGATTTCCTGCAGCCTCAATTCTCGGCCTGCAGTTTTTGCCAGACATCTTTTCGGGACTATTCAGTCCTCCAACGCTGGAAAAAGGATATTCAATGGCGAATGATTAGGATTGGCAAGCAGCTCGTTGGATTGCAGGGCTTTAGAACAGCATTTCCAGGGCCTCAGGTTTACGTCAATATAGAAGAACATTCCAGATTACGAACAGCAGTTATATACCCGTGGGTCATTGAAGGATCCGAGCCAGATGCGTTATTCAACAGTTCCTCAAAAATCCTGTCCGACCTGCATGTCATGCAAAGAAAAGCACCGATGAGGTCATATGTCTCATTTCTAAAAAGGTGTTTGGACCTCTTTCAGAAGGCCCGTCTCCACCTTTCGTCTTCTTCTTCTTCCAACTCCAAGAAACAGCCCTTCGGCCAAGGTCCTGGCCGATGCCAGGAGTACAGAACGAGTCGGAAGGCTGATAGGGGGGGGAGCGGGCTAAAAACATAAGTAGTAGCTTTATTGTTTCTAATAGCTTCTTGTTACTACTAGTAAGGCACTTGTTACTAGTAGCGATGCCCTTGTTCCTAGGACGAAAAGCATTCATCCAGAAACACCTTTCCATTGGTTCCAAGAGCGTTGCCGATCGCCAGGTGCGTCACAAGCAGTGAGAAACTCAGAGGGTCGACTTTTCACGAGATGAAATGGTCAGAGCGCTCCATGCAACCTACTTGCAGTGGCCTCCAAGCTAGCGATGGACATGGCTTTGAGATGAAATGGGTTATGGTGGCTTTGGTGAATTTGCTTACTTGAGTCATCGAGGCGGGTGCATCTTCAGAAAGCCGTATCTTTTCGAAGACGAAGATGTGCAAGTTCAACCTCTTGGGTGTTTGTGCAAAGGCCATTCGGATCCAACGTATCCCGGGACTATCTCAGTTTAATCTCTCAAAGTGATATCAGTGTTTCTTCTTGTGTGAGAACACGTCGTGCCAGAACACACTTCATCATGGTTTCACTGAACATTTTCTCAACCTTTGCTTGCGTCCAGGGAAGCTCTTGTGGTTTCGCACATGCTCGAGAAGAACTTAGACCGGCTCCAGCCGGGTGCTCAAGAAATTCAGAGAAGAACTGAACTAGGCTAGGCAGAGGTCTTGTACCTCATTTGCCTTCAGGAAAAACAAGAAAAGGACACACGGCCGTACTACTAGGAACAAGAAGCTACTAGGGGCTCCTGGCATCGCTACGAACTGAGCAAGGACGCTACGAACGGGGCTCCCGGCCGTACTACTAGGAGCACGGACGCTACTAGGGGGAACGATAAAAGAAAAGCGTAGGAGAGGAAGGGAATGGGCCCTGTGGGCCCCCTGGGCCCCCCTGACTGCACCTTTATAGGTGGCGTCAAAGCTGTTGTCTATAGGTGGCGTATTCAGGCTTTGGCTTCTGCAGCCACTTCACAAGGTGAGTGTTACTTTGCTTCACAAGTCAGCCAAGGATCTCTTCCGCACCAAGATATGCAAAGCTTTGATCAACACAGGTGTGGAAATTGCTGTACTGAGCATGATTGTGGTGGTGAAGTGTGGCCACAGCTGCTTCAACTAATTTCCGCTCTCTCAAATAAACTCTCACCGAAGTGTCCTGCTATGTCATGTTGACACACCCAAAAAAGACACGACACATGATGAAGCATGATGGAACCACGCCTTGTAGTAAGAATCAGCATTGCCATCAGCGATGGCCTCCAACCTTAGGTTTCCCTAAAAATCTAGGAGCCAAATCATTAGCGCGAGCTATCCTCCGTCCAGTAGTTAGGAGCGTTCTTGTACCTACTAGCTACCTCACACCTCATAGCGGCCTACCCCCTTGGGCAAAAAAAGGAAGCCCCGTTCGTAGCGTCCGATCGCTCCTAGTAGCGATGCCAGGAGCCCCGTTCGTAGCGTCCTTGTTACTACTAGTAAGGCACTTGTTAGTAGTAGCGATGCACTTGTTCCTAGTAGCTAAAAAAGGAGAATGCCATCAGCTGTGATTGTTTCAGGCGGATGCCACGATCCGCAGTGCAGGATGGGGACGGCTGGAATTGGCCGTTGGAAGTCGGTCTTGGTTTGGTTAACTGAGTTCCGTGGGTGGCATTCCCTTTTGTCTTGCTCGGATCCTGGAGAACTCTGGTTCCTTTCGAAAAAGTAACTTCGCTGGTTCAAGTCCTTAAGTTCTATCCAGACTAGGAGCAAGGGCATCGCTACTAGGGGCTCCTGGCATCGTTACTAGGAGCAAGGACGCTAGTAGGGGCTCGTGGCCTTACTACTAGGAGCAATGTTCGCTACTAGGAGCATTGATGTTGTTTTCGCCTTCTTTTTATTCAAGTCGCTTCGCGACGACAACCGCCCGTACCAGTGGCTCTCAGAGAGAGGGTAAAAGAAGTATCTAGAATCACTTGACTCTTTTCTTGGGCCCTTTGATGCATTGTTTAGTCATGTCTTACTTGCATTTTGCAAGCATTGGATCTATTTCTCGACCCCTTGAAATTGTCCTCTTTCAAGATCGTCCACAAATACAGTGATTATGTACAATAAACTATACAATGTGCGTGACCGAGACAAGGCTGAGAGATAAGCGCAGCATAGTGTGGATGAAGAAAATGCAAGAAGTATCTATAATCACTCTTTTTTTGGGCCCCATAAAGCTTGTTTAGTTATGTCTTGCTTGCAACCTGCAAGCATCATTGGAGATATTTTTCGCCCCTTTGTCCAAATTGTACTCATGCTTGCTATATAATTGATATGACTTGGCCACCTAAAACATGTACAATTTCAAGGGGTCCGAAGAATAGAGTGAATGTATACCATTAACTGTACAATGTGCATGACCGACACAAAACTTGGAGATGAACGCAGCGTGAAGTGGATGAATGATATATAGAGAAGTGTCTAAAATCATTCTACTTTTGGACCCCGTGACATACTTTAGGTATGTCTCTCTATAAACACTCTATTCTTGGATCCTCTTACATATTTGTTTGCAAAACAATGTTGGACATATTTTTGGACTCCTTTGAATTTGTTACATTTTTCATGGGCCCCAACATATACAAATTTGCAGGCATGTAACAATCAACTATACACATGCAACCAATTGATGCATATGCTACCAGAATAGACCCTACAATTGCAACTAGCTCATGCACATGATGCAAACATCAAAGTTACATTAAGACATGGGCAGTTGAGAGGAGTTGTTTGATTGCCTTTCATGGGCTCGTTGACGCAAGCGATGCAACAATGAAAAATATAGTCAGGCATAGATGATATGTGAAAACAATGGTTTTTTTCAATGTTTTCTCCCACTCCCACATCTCTCCCAGACATACCTCGTGATGCAGAATATGCATTTGCGTTCCCAAACCAAAATGTTCCCCTGCTAAAACTATACAGTTTGACGCCTCAGCACCTTCGGTGCGGGCGGACTTGAACCTTCCCGAACTCCGTCTTGCAACACAACACATACCCCAAAAGAGTATATTACAATATGTGTATATATATATATATTCATAGCCTTCCGGCAAGGCTTTTGTTGAGCAGCGATTTTGTTGTTCAGACAAACTCGCCTGCTTGGTTACTCTTCCATCGTTGTGCTTGCTCACCCCAGGTATGCTCACAACCGCGATGAAATTCGCAGTGCCTGTGTCAAGCCAGCCAGGCTGGTTTGTGCCTTGCGTTTTGTGTGTTTTTTTCTTGCTCTTTACCACAACCTTGCTCTCCACTTCTTGTCCTTGTGCTTGATGCACCTCTGTACAGTTTCTAGAGGGCAAAAGTGAAGGAACAAAACTGGACAGCATACCGGAAAACATATCCCTCTTGCACATCTGCGTTTTTCTGCACAGGGGCCGATCACCTTTTGCTGATCCGCAGGCCAGAGGGAACAAAAAAACCATTAGACAGGTTTTGGAAAGCTTCCCAACCCAAAGATTTCAGTCCAATACATTGAGCACTGGAACCCACAAACATTGATTCACACCATGTGGCGAATGTCAGAGCTGGACAGGCACAATTTGGCTATGTGAACTCCATGGAGATGGGAAAATATGCTGCAGGGCACCCTGCTGCGCTCTGTTGTGGGAGTTAAACTTGCCCAAGCAGTTTGTTTCCAAAAGGAAGAATGAAGCAAAAGAAAAAGAAAAGGCCCAAAGGGCCTAAAGTCTGAAAGAAACAAGAAATTCCCGACCTTTCTTCCCTTGTGCACTCAGGTTCCTGTGCCTTCTGTGCCTTCACTTCCACCAGCCGCGATGGGTCAGGCGTGGACAAAGTGTTTTATGTCCATGTTCCTAGTAGCGTCTTTGCTCCTAGTAGTAAGGCCAGGAGCCCCTAGTAGCGATGCCCTTGTTCCTAGTAGCTTCTTGTTTCTAGTTCTTCAAAGATTTGCGTTTCTCATCGTTTTTCTTTGTGAGACCTAGGACCTAGACCTTTCACAACCATACTGTCTATTCCTTGTCAATCCTTTCGTGAAGCTTTTCTTTCTTTGCTTTGAACCCTGTTCTGTCTATCGAGTCAATTGCCATCACTGGCATGTCAGACATTGGCCGCACTTTGTCTTCTGGACACTTTGTGACTCAGTGTGAACACGTTTTTCACATTAGGCTTGAGCCCAGTTCTGGATTTGGAAAGGAGACAATAAAGTGAACACAGTGTATATATGGAAGAGTATGGAAAGGTAAGCTCTAGAAAGAGATCATGTAGTTGCTGGCGGTTTGATAGGTTGCCTGTCCTTTTTAGCGATTTTCAGCTGCTTCACGGATGTTTTTTGATGTGCTTCTTGGTTTCTCGTCTGATGATGATTTTGCTTCCTGATGATGAAAGAATTTGCTTCCTGGGGTAGGGGGTATTGGCGGTCGTTGTGATTGCAGTTTGTAAATGAACTTGCTTTGGGTCGCTTCAGGTCGGGAGGTGCTGGGTGCTGTTGATTTGTTCTTTGCTTGCCAAGTGCACAAATATGACAGTTCCATGACACATACAAGCCAGGTCACGGTTTGATGCGTGCCCCAAAAGAGTTGTATTTTGGAAGACAGCAAATCGAAGATTCTTGGAAAAAGCCTTGCTTCACTGTAGCGAAA